AGAATTTCCCATGAAAAGTTGTTCACCATTTGCAGCCTCATTGTAGGTAGTGAACATCTTCTTGTCCGCACATATGTGACGAGTTGCTCCAGTGTCAACCCACCATTCTTTGGGATTTCCAACCAAGTTAGCCTCAGACACCCAAGAATTTTCTCAATATAATGTGATTGAGATAATGCATATCCGTCAGATGTTTTAGTAATTTTCATTCCTAATATAACATCTGCGACCCCCATATCTTTCATATCAAATCTTTTGTTAAGCATTTGCTTAGTTGATTTGATCATGTTTTGACTGCTTCCAATGATAAGCATGTCATCCACATAAAGACAAACTATGACATATCCTTGGTCAGTGTTTTTAACATAGACGCATTTGTCACATTCGTTTATCTTAAACCCATTAGTAAGCATTGCATGATCAAATTTTTCATGCCATTGCTTAGGTGCTTGTTTTAATCCATAAAGGGATTTTACAAGTCGACAAACTTTCTTTTCTTGCCTGATATTACAAACCCTTCGGGTTGTTCCATATAGATCTCTTCATTTAGATCACCGTTTAAGAAAGCTGTCTTAACATCCATTTGATGTATTTATAAATTAAACAACGTTGCTATAGCAATAAGCATACGGATGGATGTTATTCTTGTCACATGGGAATATGTGTCAAAATAATCCAGACCTTCTTTTTGTCTGTAACATTTAACTACAAGTCTTGCTTTATACTTGTCAATTGAACCATCTGCTTTCATTTTTCTCTTGAATATCCATTTATATCCAAGAGGTTTAGAACCTGGTGGAAGATCCACCAATTCCCAAGTATGATTTTGCATAATGGATTCAATTTCATTATTAACAGCCTCTTTCCACAAAGGTGTTTCAGGACCTGTCATTGCTGCCTTAAAGCTTTGAGGTTCATTTTCTAACAAGTATGTCAGAAAATCTGGACCAAAGGATTTTGATGTTCTCGCTCTCTTACTTCGTCTTGGTTCATCATCAGTTAAATCCTTTTGGTCGAGACCATTACTAGTCTCTTGTGTTTGATTGCCATTAGTCTCTTGACTTTGTGTACAATCATAAGTTCTTTTCCTTAAACTTAATTCCTGTCCTTTCTTGTAAGGAAAAACATGTTCAAAAAACACAACATTTCTTGACTCTATAATAGTGTTCACATCTATATCAGGCATTTCTGATTTATAAGTCAGAAACCGATATGCACTACTTTTCTGAGCATAACCAATCAACACACAGTCTATTATTTTTGGTCCAATCTTAGTCTTTTTAGGAACAGGAACTTCAACTTTTGCCAAACACCCCCACACTTGTAAGTATTTGTAGGAAGGTGGTCGACATTTCCACAATTCATAAGGAATGCTTTTGGTTTTCTTGTGGGGTATCCTATTAAGAACATAATTAGAAGACAATATTGCTTCCCCCCACAAGTTCTGTGGTAAACCTAAACTTAATAACATGGCATTCATCATTTCTTTGAGGGTTCTATTCTTCTTCAGAAATTTCAAATCATGATTCATAAATTTCAAATGAAAAATCATTAGCAGACAATATTGCTTCCCCCCACAAGTTCTGTGGTAAGCCTGAACTTGGAGAATAGGGTGTTGTAGTTTGGTGAATAATGCCATGTTGTGCACAAAATTTATTTAATGGTGCATCATATTCACCACCCCTATCACTTCTAATATAAATCAATGAATTTTAAAACAAATTCAAGAAAAAACCAAAATAATTATGACTACTCCAGGCAGAATTAATGTTTTGACAAAATCATATCCTCATAAAAAATTTTGCTTAAGAATCAAACAATTCAAAAATCCATTTGATTTTATACATTCTTGCAACTCAATAACAAATAAATATCACTGTCATAAAAATATTTGTGACAGAAGAAAATTAAATTATCTCAACTAATGCAAGAGATACACCCCTATATTAATAAAATGGTTCATGGTTTAACAAATTCTACTACGCAAGTAAAATAATTATTAATGACATCTCATGTCACATAATTCAATAATCAACATAAAAGATTTCTTAAATTACTTCCTAATTAAACGGACCGATATAATTATATACATCTTCATGTTTTAAATTTCTCTGGTGTTTAAACACCCATTCAAAATTGATTAGAAATATTCAAATTAACCTGTTTATGTCCAAAGTCGACATAACAATTTATCATTCCAAATCACTTGAAATTATTGTTAAGAAATAACTTGAGTTGATATCATACACGCATATCAAACGCATCAACTAAAAATAATGAATTAACAAAATAAATTAATCATGCATGATCCCATCACTTGCATCATGAAATAAAAGGATTCTCAACTCATAAATAAAACCCAATGCATTTAAACTTTAAACTTCAAAATGACAAAACATACCTTCATTTAATAAGTTTGATTTGTACATAAATAAACAAATTAAATATGCATTAAAATGTTCTTGTGAATATATATATATATATATATATATTCCGACTCAAGTGCAGAAACAATTCAAGACTATGAATCCACATTGTAATAAAAATAAAATTAGTTTGTAAAACTAATATTTTACTCTAGAAACAAATTCTTCCATGTATACTCATGATGAACTATGATAAAGTCAAAATAATTAACACCTTTTCACAAAGGGTTCAAAAATAAGTGGTCTACCAAACGAAACCATAAGTTACTTACAAAATTAACAGATTGTGACCGAGTCACAAAGTTACATGATTGATTAACAAAATTAATTTTCTAGTTACTAAAACCAGAAAATAAATTACAATACAAAATATTTTTATTTTCCTTATTACTAAAAATAGTAAAATAAAATACCGAAATAATATCTGATTACAAAAATCAGAAAACCAAACAACAAATTAATTTTCTAGTTACTTAAATCAGAAAATAAATTATAACACAAAATCATTTTATTTTTCTTGTTACTAAAACTAGAAAATAAAATACCAAAAATAATTTTCTGTAACACCAAATAATATTCTGCAATTGTTAATGACACCAGTATATTACTACTAGTTGTCAAAGAAAAGAGACAGTATATTACTACTATCTGTCAAATAGCATAAATCACTATTTATTTTTCCAACCAGAATATTAGTTTGAAAACACAGAAAATTAAATACAATGAAGATACCAAAAAGGAATCTGTCTTAAGATTGTCCGACAATCTTCACTGTATTTAAAAAGATTAAATTCTGTTGTGTACAAAACAACAACAAGAATATAAAGAAATAAAGAAAAGGAGAGAATTTATTTGATTACAAAAATCAAACTCGAAATAAAAATAAATAAATAAAATCACAGATTTTATTTTGTTACAAAAACAAAAAATATTTTATTTTGTTACAAAAATAAAAAATAAAATCTGATTAAATAAACAAATATAAAACAGAATAAATTAAACAACTTACTTGGTTAATTTATCTGAATAACTTTTCTGATCAAGTCCAGTGTTTAACACTGTGTCCTTAAGACAGATTCGTCCTCTCCACGGTACTTTCAAAATTTGGACGTCTATCTCCCAGGATGAAATGATCTTACCACAAACAATAGCAGCACTACAAATTGTTTGCCGGTGCTTTCAAAATTTGGACGTCTATCTCCCAGGATGAAATGATCTTACCACAAACAATAGCAGCACTACAAATTGTTTGCCTTACGAACACATTAAGTGTTTACATTGTTTGCCGGTGCTTTCAAAATTTGGACGTCTATCTCCCAGGATGAAATGATCTTACCACAAACAATAGCAGTACTACAAATTGTTTGCCGATGCTTTCAAATTTTGGACGTCTATCTCCCAGACGTCTATCTCCCAAGATGAAATGATCTTACCACAAACAATAGCAGTACTACAAATTGTTTGCCGATACTTTCAAATTTTCCCAGGATGAAATGATCTTACCACAAACAATAGCAGACAAAATGTTGGGGATTTAAGTGTGTGGTGATTTTTGGGTCTAATGGGTCTAGCCCATTTTGCCCATAACCTCTCCCTCTAAAACACTGGGGTACCCCTTGGGGCACACCCCAAGTATCTCACCCTAAGCCTTATAAACCCTTTCAAAACTTCCCACCAAATCAATGTGGGACAAGCTAATTTACAACCTTAAGGAATTTCCACCATAACTCCATTTCGATGGAGCACACTTTGGCTTTAATTTCCCATTCACTCGGTAATAGTTTTGAGCAACCAAATATACCACATGAATCACAACGCGGCATAGAACGCGTTACCATTTTGACCCGAGTAAATCGATACTCGGGACCTACCTAAAAAATAGACCAAACTTAAGAAAAAATTCTAATTTTATCCAAATTTTTTTAACCATTTCCAACATGATGAACCGCTGTAACTTACTAGTTTCAAGGAAGGACAACATTCTCATCAGCTTCGTCGTGACGGAGGAGTGGCTCGGCTTCCTCAGCTCCGAGACCAAGCCGGCTCAAATTCGCTACGCCACCATCCCCAACGTCACCCCCTCGGAGATGGGTCGCGGCGCCGACTTCGCGAATTTTGTTGAAGCTATGCGGACTAAGCTGGAAGACCCATTCGAGCGGCTGCTGAATCGGCTTGAGCCGCCGAGACCGAGCATCATCATCTACGATATTTCACTGCCGTGGGCGGTCGGCGTCGGCGAACGGTGGACTATTCCGGTTGCTGCTCTTTGGACTCTGCCGGCGTCGGTGTTTTCGGTGTATCATCACTTTGATCTCCTCCTCCAAAATAGCCACTTCCCCGCTAACGTGTCAGGTCCGTTTTTAAGACAAGGATATACATTTGGGGTGTTTTGAGAACTGTAATTTTTTTTTTTAATAATTTTTTTTTTTTTTCAATTTTGAGAATAAAATTGAAGATTTTAGATTTCAAAATGGACATATATAAAACGGGTTGAAAAAGATAAGACGAACCAAAAAAGTAAAAAAATTGAAATAATTTTTTTAAAAAATAATAATAAAAATTTTAAATTTTAAAAAAAGGGTGACTTGTTATTTGTTAATTTTTTTTTAATTGCCAAAATGGGCAGTATATTCTCCAATATGCAAGTAATCATTAAACCATGTTTAATTAGAATCGAAGGATGAAATTGGATTATACATCCCGTCTCATTTTATTTGTTTATCTTTTTATTTTAATCTGTTTCAAAATATTTATTCACTTTTTATTTTAAAATATTAAATTTTGTTAAATTTTTAAAATTGCTCCTTATAAATCATTGTAAAGACATTTTAAAATTCAAAAAGAAAGGTCATGGTGAGAAAAACATTTCAAAATTTCAATTAAAATATAATGATTTTCTATAGTGAACAAATAAATTGGGATAAATGAAGTAATAAAATATTGCCTTCAGATACTTAAAGAGTTTTTTTATTTTATTTTATTTTAATAATCAAAATAATAATTATAAAAATTTGTAATTAAACCATAACTAAAATATAATATAATAAATAAGTTGTAACTAATATTTATAATCAATTGTCACAAAAGGTTTGAAATTCTCAAGTTTAGATGACTAATTTGAAAGAAATCAAATCTTTTTAAAATTAGAGCTATAGGTTTGAATTTTAGGATTCGTTAATTGAAATATTTATACAAAAAATCAATATGATTGCATATCAGTAGCTATAGGTTTGAATCAAATTTATATTACAAAAAATAGATGGTTATTCGTAAAATTATATTTGTCGTCTATTTTTTTTTTAAAACAAATATAATTCAAATATATAGTTACCAATATTTAATCATCTTGATTTTTTGCATGAATATTCTATTTAGTGAGCCATAAAAAGTAAACGGTTCGAATCGCTGAAATAATTCCAAAATAGGTGTACCGAGTCCAAACGCTCTCTCAAATTGAGATGACAATATTAGAGGTGCCAAACCGTTTTAAAATTAGAGGCAGATTCTCTTTAGTTCAAAATCTGGATAGGAAGACATTATTTGGGCCCGTGGGTCCTAATACGTGTCCCGTTTCGATGATTGGAACCGTTCAATTTGTTAGGCACTTAAGTATATTTCATTCATATAAAAAATTAAGGTGATTCGATAATCATAATTTATTCAATTTATCGCGTTTATCAACAAAAAAATAGAAACACAATTGGCGTCTATTTTGTTGGTGACAAACATTATAGATTGAACAAATTATAATTATTGAATTCATCTAAATTTTTTTGTGGATAAAATACATAAAGTGTACAACAAAACGAACAGTTCAAATTATCAAAACATGACCTGTATGGAGCCTTACGAGCCCAAACAATACCTTTCAATTCAAATTTTGGATTGGAAAAGATCCTCTACTTTAAAATTGTACTTATTATTTATAAGGGTTGAGTTTCCTTATGATCCAGATTTGATTTCTTTCGAAAAATAGATAATTATTTGATAAATTACACTTTGCTCTATTATATTTTATCATTTTCTCATTTTGGTCCTTAAAAGAGTTTTTTTTTTTTCCCCCTATTTTTATATTTTATGTTTTAAGTTTTTCTCAGTTTATTCTTAAAGTTAATTTTTATTCAAAATTAGATAAAAAAATGCCACATTGGCTTGGGTTTAAGTTTGTATTAGATGCATAAGTTAAATATAATAATATATTTCATGTCATGTGACTAATGTAACATTTTTTGTTTAATTTTGGACAAAAATTAACTTTAAGAGTAAATTGAGAAAAAAACCTGAAATATAAAGAGTTAAAATTGAAAAAAAAAAAATTACAGGCCAAAGCGAAAAAATGATAAAACATAAAAGGGGCAAATGTATTTATCCTAATTATTCCTAGTTCATTAGATTAATATATGAAAAGCTTGACTTATGTCTCCACTTTGTGTGCATGTGATAGAACGAGGGAATGAGGTAGTTAACTACATACCCGGAATGTTGAAGGTCACCCCATGTGAAAGGGGTGATCCTCATGTCAACAAAGGAAGACAACCAACCAAGTCAAGCTTGGTGGCCACCAACCATGTCAAAAGTCAAGAATGAAGGCTCTCCCACCTACTCCTTTGTGTATAAATAGAGACGGGAGGGAGAGGATGAGATACAGATCAGAAATTAGAGAGTGCGGAGTCGAGGGATCCGATCCCTGTCGGACCGAGTTCAAATTGCCATCTCTATACACAGTGATTTGGTGAAAGGAGAGAGTCATCCTCAGTTTGGTGGAAGGTTTGATATTTTCTCAATTTGATACCAATTTGCTAAAATTATTGGAGCACCAAAAAGTGACTTTTTTACCAAAATTTAAATGTGATACCAAGTTTGACGAAGCACTAGAGATGGTTTAACATTGATAATTAAAAAAAATTAAAAAATTAAAAATTGAAAAACAACTTTGTAATGAATTCGGTTTCTTGATTGGACTATCCAGTCACTCAACAGGGGACGAGAGAAGAGAAGCCCACAAACCAAACCCTTTGAGAGATTCAACTAATTCTTCGCTCCTCCTCTATTGTAATCTTTCTGTAATCTCCTCATTGGTATAGTGATAACCGGTTTTCTGTCCGTGGATGTAGGCATTGGGCCGAACCACGTAAAATATTGTGTCTCCTTGTGTGTGGGTGTGTTTTTCTGCTTGCAATGATTTCTATAAGGTCTTGGGCGGGATCCCAGATCCCAACATATAAGCCAACCTTCTAGTAATTCCAATTCCTCGAACAAAAGCATTAATTGAAGTTGAAGTAACACCTCTACGTCGCAAACCGGATAATGTCATCAAACGGGGATCATCCCAACCATCAACCCGCTTTTCCTTCACAAGATGATTTAACTGCAATAGCATACCATGGTCAACCAAGTGTATGGAATAAAATACTAGAGTGCATGGGTACAAAAATACTTCCAACAATTCTTTAAGGCTATTTGGATCATGAATTTGAGTAGGAATTTGGAAAGAAAAAGGAAATGCGGAAAAGATTTAGCTTATATTTCATTCAAATTTATCTCACCTTTTCCTTTTTTTTCCCAAATCTCTACCAAAATCTATGATCCAAACATAGCATAAACAAATAGATGTTCAACAATTCAGCTCACCTTGCATTTTGACATCACTGTTTTAGTTACATTCAATCGTGAGTATTCCCATACATAAGGCTAGTAAAGGTTCAATGCATCCAATAACCAATAATATGAAGCACGCCTTGTCTCAAATTCAAGTGTACAAAGCTGCATAAAATTTTCAAAAATAAAATAAAAATAAAAAGGATAAGAAATCTTCCAATTTAGGCTTGCATAGACTCACTTCCAATACAGAATTTACATTTCATATTTGTCAAAGAAGGAAAGACATGGAGCAGAGTGCAAAACATATATGAAAGCATTAGGCTTGCATAGACTCACTAGTAATGTACGTCAACCATAATAAACTTGGCATAATGATACCTACAATAGATTTGTGGTTAGTCTAAGCCTAAGAAGGCCTCTAGGGCTAAGTTTCTAGAACAAGTATAAGAAATCTTCCAATTAGTACGGACGTACAAGTGAGACAGAACCGAACATCAGGGATTGCAGCACAGACAACGGGCGTATGAGATCGCTGGGAAGTTGTTCTGAAGTGCAGAAAGCAAAGGCTGGTTGTTCAGAAATAAGCTCCGAGCAAGGAAAATTGAAGATGTTGATGTGTCAAACTCTGAAGTTTTCTAGTTGCTCCCGTGTTTCATCATGCAAGAAGCTGGCAAGGGTATCCCGAGCAGGGGGTGCAGGGTATCCAATCAGGGGGTGCTTGATACCTTGGCAGCAGGTTTTGTTGTGGATCACCTCACATGGGCTGAGGGGGTGATTGTTGAAGGTCACCCCATGTGAAAGGGGTGATCCTCATGTCAACAAAGGAAGACAACCAACCAAGTCAAGCTTGGTGGCCACCAACCATGTCAAAAGTCAAGAATGAAGGCTCTCCCACCTACTCCTTTGTGTATAAATAGAGACGGGAGGGAGAGGATGAGATACAGATCAGAAATTAGAGAGTGAGAGCTGTGAGTTGAGTGAGTTTCATCTCCTCCTCTGTATTTTGTATTTTTGCTCCATTTTAGTGAAAACTTCTCATTTCTGTCCGTGGATGTAGGCATTGGGCCGAACCACGTAAATATTGTGTTTCCTGTGTGTGTGAGATATATTTCTGGGTGTGTTTGATCCTAACACGGAATTCCACCAACACGTATAGCAGATCTTCCTACAATTTTCTACGGTGCTCTACGTAATGTTCTACATCTGGCCGTCGAAGCCATTTCAATGGTGCCAAATGCACAATATTTTCTACTCACTTCCATCTACGAGCTTGAATCCCACACCATTGACACTCTAAAGCAAACAATTCCTATCCCCATATACTCCATCGGTCCAGCAATACCTTACTTCAAACTAGGAGACAATGAGAATCTCTCTAACAATTTCTACATGCAATGGCTAGATTCTCAACCCAAAGCCTCGGTCTTGTACATATCACAAGGTAGTTTCCTTTCTGTTTCGGCAGCCCAAATGGATGAAATCATTGCTGGGGTGCATGACCACGGCATTAGGATATTTTGGGTGGCGCGTGATGAAGCTTCTCAGATTAAAGAGGCTGGATGTGGCGACAACAGGTTGGTGGTGTCGTGGTGTGACCAATTGAATGTGTTGTGCCATCCTTCGGTAGGCGGGTTTTGGTCACACTGCGGGTGGAATTCCATCAAGGAAGGTATTTTTGCTGGCCTTCTGTTTCTTACTTATCCAATGTTTTTGGACCAAGTACCAAATTCCAAGACCGTTGTGGAGGATTGGAAGATTGGGTGGAAGGTGAGGAGAGGAATGGGTGATGAAATGCATTTGGTAACGAGAGAAGAAATTGCTAGACTTGTTCAGAGGTTTATGGATTCAGAGACTGATGAAGGGAAAGAAATGAGGAGAAGAGCCGCAGAACTCAAGGAGACTTGCCGGCAAGCCACTTCGGTAGGTGGGTCTGCCGAAACTAACATTGATGCTTTCATTAAGGACATTTCACAATCCCATGATCATTAGATTAAATTATGTATTTTGTTCTCATTGATTAGATTGTTGTTTGAAGATTGTCATAGTGTTTGCAATAAATTTCATGAGAAGTGCAAGTTCAAACTGAGATTAAACTGTTGACCAAATGTTATTTAAATCTGGCAAATAGGCTAAGTGTTTTACAACATTTTGATTAGTGTATGATGTTTTATTCTAAGTGTAATTCAAGGATCACAAAACTTTCATGATTATTTTCATGAAAGGTTTTTCATGATACCTAACATTGTTGTTGATTGATATGCCATAAACATAATTCATGATGAGATCCTGGAAATTTCGCCTTAATAGCACTTGAAATTACTTTAGATTGGTCCGTAAATGTACTTACTGGTTTCTTTCCTCCCATCGCCTCCAAAAAAGTAGTAAACAACCATACCACCGCATCACCATGATTGTTGATGCCCACAATTGGTGCACTTGACACGTTGGGGTGTTTTGAAAAGATGATTAAAAGTTATTTTTTGACTTTTTTTAACTTTTTTGTAAGAAAGGAAAGTAACTTTTAATCCACTTCCCAAAATAACCCGTCATAGTTGTTTGTTCCGAATGTTGTGGCAAAACATACCGCATCACCAAATAAACCATAATCCCTTCTTGACTTGGCATCACAAAAGAAAACACCACGTATTTCACACTCTTCATTGGTCCGAAAAGTGAGGTTGTGCGCGGTGCAGTTTGGACAGTTTAAGAGTAAAATTACAAACTGAATGGCGGGTTGGCGGATTGACAAATTACGGTTTGAGCGATTTTTTTACAGATTGAAGAATATTCTAACTAATTATCATACATTTGCATAATATATAATACTAATTTGTATAATATTTTTTAGATATATAACACAAAGTAATATTACATAATATGTTTTATATATATAACTATTAATTTGTAATAAATTTCATATCTTAAATCTCTCTCACTCATTTTTACATTGATGTTTCATTAGAGGTCAAAAAATATATATGTATTAACTATAGCAGAATGAAGTGGTTCAGTTGGCGGATTATAAATTTTAAAGTTCACGCAGAAAGTGGTTAGAACGGTGTGAATTGCTACGGATCAATTCGATTTCACTAAATTGAGTGGGTTCAGTTAGCGGATTATAAATTTTAAAGTTTAAACCGCAGTTAACGGTTAGAGCGGTGCAAATTGATACGGATCGGTGCGATTTTAGCGGATTTGGCAGTATTTTGCATAGTCCTACTGAAAAGAGTAGAAAAAAATGTTTTTTTTCTTGTTTCTTTTCTTTGAAATAGTCTAGGATACATTGTGAATAGCCCTTTTTGAGAAACTCTGCCTGTGCACGCTATATCAAATTGTTTCAATCATATTGAATGAAGTATAAGGTTTTGGGATTCTCCAACTTCTGTACACATAAGAGAGAATATATGATTTGTTTGTGGGAGGTGTGATGAGAGCATTTTATTGTCAAGTCCAATTTGGGAAAACTCGATTTTCCTTTGGGATTTCAAATAGTGAGAACATTGAGGCGGTACAAGATCATGGGATTGCTCTGATATGAACTCGATTACATGGTACTTATCCCCCAAAGAATTTAACTAAAAACTTCGCCTTGCAGCCAAATCGCTGATTTTCTCTTATTTTTTGAAGTGTTTTGATTTTTTGGTATGTTCCTTCACATGAACAAACTAATTCTTGATGATAAATTTTACTACCATCAGCTTTATTCCTATTTGTTCTCTGATTCCTTACACAATCTAATTTTTCTTGCATATCCATTATAATAACTATCCGCATTATCCACAGTGTTGAAAATCATTCCATGTTTTGGCTTTATCACCTCATCCATTATGTTTGTTAATTCATTTAAATCATGACACTCTCCATTAATTTCAAGATTTTTCTCAATCATAACCAGAATCCAAATGGGTGGACTGTTCAAATTCTTCCATAAATGCTACAGATAATATGAAAACATCAACAATTATTGATCTCACATAATAAATTCATACACATATCAATAATTTTTGATCTCACATCATAAATTCATATACATACCCAACAGTTATTGATCTCACATTATGAATTCACATATGAGAAGTTTATTTGGCAGTTCGGGAGTTTGATCACTTGGTGCCTAGGCGTGGATGATCGGGGAATAAGAGAGGATATGATAAATTGTGATTGGTCAGGATATGACACGTGGTGCCTATAGACCAACAAATAATTTTTCATTCATATATATACTCAATAATTGTTAATCTCACTTCATAAATTCACACACATACACACACACACACACATATATATATCATATTTTAAAACTAATTCTAATTTGTAACCCACAATCATTAATAAAAAATAAAAAAAATTAGAGAAAAAAAAAGAGAAACATCATTGCTTATTATTTTATTTATGAAGCTAATTAGAGTTAAAAGGGTTTGGTTTCTCTTAAGTTGACCATTTTATTTGTGTTTGGGTTTAGTAAGTTTATTTTGAGATCGATTTCAATCAGGGGTGGGCGCGAGTCGGTTACGGCCATGAAACCTCCAATCCACCATCCGTTCGCCAAATTGGCGGATTGAAGAAAATCAATCCGTATCCGTCTGCCAATCCGGTGGATGTGGATTGAGCGGATTTGGCGGTTTGGCGGATGGATGCGAATCGGTTTAGCGGTTTAAAATTTTATAAATTTTCAGCATAATTCAACTTGTGCACTTCCTCAAAATAAGAAGAAGAAAGTATTACAGTCAATGACTTAAAAAAATATTACAATCACTGCATGCCTCATCTAAAACAAGAAAGTTTGAAACTTTAGAATATCACAATCACCTCATCCACATACTACAATCACAGCATGCCTTATCCACATAAGGTATTACAATATGTGGTTCTTAAAATATAAAAACAATTCAAACCACCAAAATCATGAACAGAGCAGTAGTAGAGATTGTATGTCTCTGTATTGTTACATCTATATCTGTTTTTGAGAACAAAAATCAACCATCATATATCATATTTTCTATTTATTATTTTTAGAGATAGATTTAAAAACCAAAAAATATAGATAAATAATATATTTATTTTTTTCAATTAAAAAAAGATATTCAAGTTGAAAACTTTGTTTCAACAAAATATTTAAACTCTTTTTTAACTGAAAACACAAACAGAATATTTAAACAAACTGAAAACACAAATAAATTACTAGGGGTGCTCGCGGTTTGGCGGTTCGGTTGCGGCCAAAGGAATCTCAAATCCGCCATCTGTCTATGTCATGACCCAAACCCGCCCCTATGGGTTTAGCACCGTAACCGGCCAGTGAACCGCGATTTTCGAAGGCCTGCTTAACAGTGAAGACAATAATACAGAGTACAGGGGTTAGCGGAAGCCAAAACAATAAATAAAAGATGTCCAATGAGCTGTGACAGACTGCAGGCAAAAGACTTTCAAAACATATTCAAAAAGACTTTCAAAGCACATTCATCTCATAACTACAACTTACGTACAAACATCATATACATAAACATTCAGGTTAGGGACCCAATCCCTTCACCATAACTATGTAGTACAAGTCTTAGACAGTATTACAGAACAGGAACAAAAAGGGTGAATTGAGACACCCAAAAATCTTGGCTTGAACAGTCACGGAACCTCGAAGTGAGGCACAACGGTTGGCTTTGAAAAAAAGGGAGCTATTCCGACGTTTCTAGCTCTGGTCCGATGCCTGGACACCTACATATAAATATAAACAATGAGCTAAAGCTCAGTGAATAATAACTGCGTAAAGGGTTAAGAACGGATGTCCTTACAGCAGTTGAAACGGTCATTTACATCGATAGATCAGTTATCCAATTAGTGGTTCATTTTTCATGTCGTATCAGTCATTTAGAAATCATAGCAGTCATACGTGGTACATTCAATTGCGGAACAGTACAGTAGGTCTTGATAGACCGGTCAGTCCGTTGATGATGACCATCAAAATAGTAAACAGTAGTAGTTCCAAACATTGGAACTGACAGAGATTTTTGTAACCGTAGCAGTGACAGTAACAGTGACAGTCCTGGACACCTACATATAAATATAAACAATAAGCTAAAGCTCAGTGAATAATAACTGCGTAAAGGGTTAAGAACGGATGTCCTTACAGCAGTTAAAACGGTCATTTACATCGATAGATCAGTTATCCAATTAGTGGTTCATCTTTCATGTCGTATCAGTCATTTAGAAATCATAGCAGTCATACGTGGTACATTCAATTGCGGAACAGTACAGTAGGTCTTGATAGACCGGTCAGTCCGTTGATGATGACCATCAAAATAGTAAACAGTAGTAGTTCCAAACATTGGAACTGACAGAGATTTTTGTAACCGTAGCAGTGACAGTAACAGTGACAGTGCAGTAGCAGTAACAGTAACAGGACAGTAGCAGTAACAGTAACGGTACAATAACAGTAATAGTAATGGTAACAATAACAGTACAATAACAATAACTGTGATGGTACAGTAGCAGTAACAGTAACGGTACAATAGCAGTAACAATGACAGTACAATAGCAGGAGCAGTAATGGTACATTAGCAGTAACAGTAACAGTACAGTAACAGTAACAGTAATGGTGCAATTACAGTAACAGTAACGGTACAATAGCAGTGACAGTAATGGTAGGTCACTATAGGAGCTACAAGTATAGTTCATACAATAAGACAAGCGTCCACTCAGTAAGCAATATCACTTCAGGAAGCAGTTCAGTCGATCGTTCATGAAATAATTATAAATGAACTTATCTTTATAACAATGTTACTCACAGAGTTCTGGGCTAGAGATAAGCTATTGAGCGTCCTCGGATGCCAACCCTATATAGTCACAGAACGAACACACACTAAGTTATTCACTTGGGTTTGATAACGTAATCCCTAACTTGACTTGGTGTGGTTCTACATCAATATCCTCATTAAGATGCCTTAAACTAGGCCTAGGAATGCCTAGGATGGAATGAGGATGCAAAGATACACTTTTAAAACACTTATCAAATTTTTCAGAAAACAGGAGTCCTGCTCGAGCGTGGATTTATCTGCTCGAACGGACATGCAAACAAAGGTATCCGCTCGAGCGTGAGTTATTCCGCTCGAGCGGACTGTAACCAAAAGCAAAGTACTAGATGCACTAAAATCACGCTCGAGCGTTACTTCATATGCTTGAGCGGAAGTGCAAGACTCAGTGTGCACGCTCGAGCGTGGAGTTACCCACTCGAGCGTGGGTTCAAATTCTGGAATTTCCAGAATGAACCTCTAAGCTCAAAATCAATTCCAAATGCATCAAATTCGATCATTTTGGGCTAATTTTCTGGA